ATGAATTTCAGGCTGAATATACTGAAAGTTTTGTAAATTATATACTGGTGGAAATTTTTATTGTGTTTATTTACAGCATATTCAGAATGATGCTCTCAGAAATTCTATGGTTGTGATAGCAGGGCTGGTAAAGATGTGATATTTGTGGATGTGTCGCTGTCACTTGTGCTCTGACATTTTAGGGGAACCTTATTTGCCTTGACTCCATCAGCAAAGTCTTCCTTTCCCAATGGGACCAGTAAAAGTGACATTGAATGAGGAGATCTTTGTGTTCTTCCTGTTTTATTTAACTACACACTTCTAGTCATGAGGAAATGATGGCTAGAACAATATTCAGAGAAAGTTAAACATCTAAAAAATTGGGGTTTTAAAAAAAATGTATGCCTAGTCTTCCTCAGCATAGGGATTTTTTCCTATAAAAAATTCCAAGTCAATTTTAGAGAAAGAGTTTAAGAAATAGGTGCTGCTTTGGGAATGCCATTCACCGGATATTGTGCTTAAATTAAAACATGGTGGGAGCACAGAATCTCAATTGATTATTTCTACTACTGCCTTCCTTATTACAAAGTGCAAAAAGAAAGGAGCACAACTTCTTTTTCCTGCTGTTGTGAAGCCAGAACTCCATGTCTCAGGTAATATGGGATATCTTCTCTCTGCCTGATTTATTATATATAAGTCACTCTACAAACATCAGGGTGGTGAGGGAGTCAAAAATAGGCAGAAGTTATGCATAAAATGATCTCCAGCAAAATTCCTTCTCCTCTCCTGAATTCAGTTTTCCATGGATTAGGCTCTGTGTTTCTGATAGAGTGATGATTCTCCTCAGTGCCAGACACTTGGAAAAGAATTGGAGACAAGTGTATTTTAAGCTTTTCTTTCAGTTTTCCTGTGGATAGGAAAAGAACTGAGATGAGAGGGAGTAGGAATGGTCAGAAATATCCTGAAACATAAAATTAATCATAGAATATCCCAAGCTGGAAGGGACCCACAAGGATCATCCAGTCCCACCCCTGGCCCTGCAGAGACACCCCAACAATCCCACCCTGGGCATCCCTGGGAGTGGTGTCCAAACACTCCTTGGGCTCTGGCAGCCTTGGGAATGTGTCCATTCCTTGAGGAGCTTGGGCAGTGCCAGCACCCTCTGGGGCAAGACCCTAAAATCAACTCAGGGCTTTCTGAAAATTGCCAGGAAGGCTTTTCCCACTGATAGGAACCTGCCTATTTTGTCCTCTGTGCCTGAATTTTTCATCCACTCCAGAGGAGTGCAGCAGCAATTCCCACAAATCTCCTCCTGCCCTCCCACCCACAGCCTTTGGCAGCTCCTGCAATCTGTGCCAGCCAAGTCAGGATCTCCCTGCTGCTCTTTGCTCCTCCAGGCCCAGCTTTGTGCACCTAAATGTGAGGTTTGCCCTGTTGCTGGAGGGTTCTTCTCTCACTGAGCTTCTTTTTCACCTTTAACGAGTCACTGGGAAAAATAATTGTCCAGCAGAGATGAATTTCTGGATAATTTTTGTGTCTTCTCCATTTGCCTTCCCAGTGGATTAGCCTACAATAAAATATTCCTCTTTTAGCTGGGAAAGACTAAGAAGTCAATGCATTTTTAGTAAGTAGATGTAATAAAATTTGAGAGTATTTTCTCTTTTGGCTCTTGAAGCAGAGATATTGCTTTTGCTGGGCATAATTGGATGGTGTTTCACAAGAATTTATTTTCCTAGTCTGCCAACTAAGTTCTATTTTGACCCAATTTTCAGGTTATAAACCTACAGGTGTCAACCAACAACTGATGATTCACAACTCTAAAGTATTTTAGTAAAAGAAGTTTCAGTATTTAAATACTGCTACATATTTTTAAAAATAACGAAAGGAGTATATATATATATATATATATATATATATATATGATTAAAAATACCATTACAAAAATAGTTAAAGAAATGTTTAAAAAGCAAAATAGTTAAAGAAATGTTTGGACACTTTGCAACATTGCAGAGAAACACAAGTTGGCTGAAACATCTGCAGTATCACATCATCTGCTCTGCAGGAGTCTTGTGGAAGGCAATTAATTGTTAATTAGCAATGTGCCAGCAGACAGCTCAGGACAGGATTGTTTGCTGAGTTGGGCCAAGTTGTCACATGTAATTTATGTGGCAGAGCTGTTGCAGTGGCTCAGTGTCTGTAGGGCTGCACCGGGGCTGCTTGAGAGAACTTAACACACACAGTTAAACTCCTGTGCTGGCTCTTGAATGCTGACAGTGCTGAAATGGAATTACTGAATAGCAGAGGGGTGTTTGACAAGAGCTAATCAATATTTTCCAGGCAATTACTTTGCTTTACTGACATGCAACTTCAGCCAAAAAGACTTCAATAAAGGAAATGTTCTGAAAATATGGGACCTCTTTTTAAATTTTGAAGCAATATATTACTGTTACACTCTAGTTCAAAAGTAAAACATGATTGAATTGAAATTTTAGGAGGTTATATATAATTCTTATTATTTTGCACTGGGGAGAAAAAGAAATTATCCTCATTCTGGGTTGACCTGTCTTTTGGAGCTTTTTTCCTATTTCAGGTTGACACAGAACCAAACCACTCCTCATTCACACCCATCACTGTGTTTCTAATGGTAACTTGCTTTTGATTTTAATGTATTTTAAAAGAACACTTGGCAGAGCGTGCAGTATTGCTGCCACCCCTCACTGAAACTGAATATTGCACAGGTTCCCATATTGGCAGGGTAGAGAATCAGAGAGGGAAAAGTGGGAAAACTTGTGGCATGAGAAAGCCCTGAAAGGCTGAGATGGAGACACTTTAACACATGAAGCAAAGCAGCACGTGCAAGTAAATCCAAACAAAGAATAAATTCCCTCTTTCCCATCAGCAGGTGGATGTTCAGCCATTCCCAGGAGGGCAGGATTTAATCCCATGGGATATTTGGGAAGACAAACATCATCACCCAAATTATCGTCCTCCCTCCCTCTTGGCCCCATTTTTTACTGCTGAGCATGACACCTCATACATGGAATGATAATCTATAAGCTGGAATTTCATTTTTTAAATTATTGTGCTATAGACTCAACCCAAAGGCAAGTTGGTTTTGTGAAATTCCAGGATTAACCCAAAGCCTGGCTCAGTGGGCTGCTTGCAGAAACAAAGGGCACTGGACCACTACCTAAGGGTGGGGGGAGATGCTTCTTGCTACCAGAGGTGTGAGAATTATTCAATTCCTTGAAATTTAATTCCTAACAATCTTCCCATACTGACCTGGAGCATCCAGTGCACAAAGCAACCCCTAACCCTACTTTACAACAGGGAAAGAAAGAGTGTCTGGGATAAAATAAAAGATTTTATGTGCCTGCGGAGAGCTTCTGTAACCTGAATTAAATTCTGACATTGTTCACTGAGTACCTTTAATAATACAAAATATTTTAAGTTGAAAATATTTGTAGAATATTTGATAGTTGAAAATATATCCAGAGGAGCTGAGCACAAACTCTCCTCAGAGTTCATTCCTTTTCCAGGCTGGAGCAGCTGCCAGTAACTGTGAGTTGGGCATGCTGATAACACCTGTATCTGCATCAAGAGTGCAAATTCAGCTTCCAGTCTGCAACAATGATTGACTATAGGCAGTTGAGGTGTTGTGCATCGAGTTCTTCTCAGGTCTCTTTGGTATTTCTTTTATTTGGTCTCACTTGTCCCATTAAAACCTTTCAAAACTGTCTTCTCAGTGCTGGCATGTATTTGCCATTTTCTAGATTTCAGTTCACTGGGATGGGTGACTGCAAACTCTTGGAAGTTGTGGATAACCAGGACTGGAGGCTCTCTCCAAGTGTTGTCTGTGTATAAAATACATGTTTAAGGAACTCAAGGTACCATTACCTATTAGCAGAAGGGCGTGTCCCTAAAGCACGGTGGGAAAGGATGAATTAACTCAAGGAACCCCCAGTTTGTGCCGCCTTTTCCAGGGGATCAGCATAAATCTGCAGCAGAAATCCCCTATTTGGAATATTCTCACCCACTCCTGTCTAGAAGAGGGGGTGGAAGATAAAATGAAGGTAACAAAGTACTGGTTTCAGACTGACAGCAGGGGACAAGGGGAGGGCAACATCAATAGATGGAAAAATGATTTTTGCTGCTCTCCTCAACCCAAAACTCTGCATCTCACCCACTGAGAGGCAATAAATTGGATGGAGAGATATCTACAATGATAGGGGTTAAGCCTTTCTAAACAGAAGCCAAACAATCAGGTGGTGCTTTACTTAAAATTATCTGCAACAAAGAAATATTTTTTCCCCATTACAAAAACTTTAGGCACAAATCAGCCTATTTTTGATTGAAGTCAGCCTCTAATAAAACAGCTAAATGTGTTGGTCTTGTTCACAAATGGCTTTGTGATTTTAGGCTTTTGATCCAAAATATTGTCAGATTATTATCACTGCTGAAATTCTGATTGTATTTCTTTGCTTTTGTGTAGCTATTTACCCATGAGGAGTCCAGCTTTTGAAATCTTTATAGGAGGCTTGTACAGATTTGGCTTATAGCAAATCTAAATCAAAGGTTTTAAATCTGGAGAGGATTGTTGTTTCCCCTCCACCCCCCCCACCCCAGTTATATTGTCTCAGGATTTGCTATTGCAGGAATAACACAGAAATGCAGAGTTAAAATAGGGGAAAAAATGTGCCAAGCCCAAATGTTTAATTTCCAAAGCTATATCACATTACTTTAGCTGACATTAATTTTGGCAGCCTGGCAGAATCCTGTTGACATGTGGAATTTTCTTGGAAGTTGTTTTCCCAATTACTCTAGGTATAAATGACTTCTCTTGATTAATTTTAGTTTATAAATCTAAATAAATGTAGCCTTGGAACATTTGGTACTTCACAGCACCATTCTCTGGTGAGCAGAAACATCTGATTTCCACCCCCACCCCTGTACGCTCTGCACAAAGTTGTAAAGGATTCCTTGGGAGTGTGGAGATAAACATGAATAAAGCAGAACTTGAATTGCTTTTTAGGGCACATTATTTTAATGTGGGGCCTGAAAAGCATGGCCAGGAAACTTGTGCAGGGTGTCCCAACAGGCTGGGAGGAACAGGCAGGAATTCCTGATGAGGAGCACCAGAGACACAGAGAGAGCATGAACTGACTCCTGGCCTGTAATCCAGGGAATTTCCCTCACTGCAGCAGCAAAGGCCCCACCAGAATTTAGGAAAAAAAAAAAAAAAAAAGGGGTTCTCAACCTGTCTAAAATTTGTCATTTTTTGTTGCAGACACTGGGAAGTGCTCACAAGGATTAGCAGCCAGCAATTACTTCCATAAACACTCAGCTGGGAGGAGGCTGAATGGGAATTGGTGCAGGAATACAGCAGTGGATAAAACACTTGACAACAGGAATTAATAATTTCAAATACAGAACAAATCAGCACATAAACACCTTCAGCATCTGCCTGCAGACTGTCCCTTGCAGCAGGCCCTTCAATTTGGGATCATCAATCTATTTGATGAAGGCTGGGCTCTCCTCTACATTGAATCATCAGATGTTTACTGTCCCTCAGCTTTCCTCCATTTTTAGAATTACTCTCAGGAATAAAATGAGAATTCACTGTCAGCTTTGATGTTCAAGTGTATCCTGTTGAGCCTGCTAGGCCTGGCTGGAAGAGAAAAAAACAGGGTCTGTTTTGATCCCTGCTGAAAACAAGATGAAGAAGGAGGTAAAAATAAATCAACAAAAAATTCTCCAAGTTGAGTTTAGTTTGTGCGAAGTCAGCTTGGGCAAAATTGATCTATTCCACTCTCAATTAATGAATAACAGCTGCATTTAAAACAAAAACCACAAGTACACCGCCCAAAAATCAAACCTAGCTCTGGTAATATCTGTGGTAAGGATGCTTTAAAAAAAACAAAAAATATAAGAATTTTGCATTTTATTCAGTTTTCCCTCTGGCAGATCTCCTTTCCCAAGACAAGTTTGACTATAACTGCAAATGCTGGCATCAAGAAGGAAGGGGAGAGGCTCATCCTGCACCTGTTAGGTGCAAGGGTTGATGTGACAGAGAGTTGACAGGGTGAGGCCCTGGCACCCACTCTTGTGACAGGCATCACTGAAATGCAAAATCCTGAAAATTTTAACCACAGCAGAAGCTCCAATGTGTAATGTACAGGCAGGGTACAAAGTCAGCTCAAGTTAATTTAAAATCTATCCATGGGCACCTTGCCTTTGTCTTCCATGAGCACTGCTAAGAGGTGACCAGGCAGTGGGAAAAGCCCTTGGAGCTGGAGGGCGAGAGGGAGAGGATTCACATGGAAGGAGATCTGACTGTCTCTGGTTCATTTCCAGGAGAGAATCCTGGATTTTGGAGCCTGTGAGTTCCCAAGTGCATCCCCTGGACTTGCAGAGCAAAGCTTTGCTGATCATAACTGCAGCAGAGTGTGGAGCTGAGGGAAGATTTGAAGCAAAAACCTGGCTTGGCTGCCACCATTTGCCAAGAAGAAGCTGCAGAGATGAAGAAAGAAAAGGTATTTCATTTGGCTATGGAAACAGGGTGAAAATGACTAACCTACAAAAAAAAATTTAAAAGGAGATTATTAGATGGAAAAAAAAATCTATATTTGAAATATTTGATTCAACCTGAAACAAAACCATTTGTAATATTTTTTTCCTCTTCTCACCTCTTTCACAGCTTGAATTTTAAGCCAAGCCCCAGCTAGCGATGCCCACATGGGCTGCTTGCTTCTGCATTTCCCTGGTGGAACTCGAAAGCGCCCACATTGTTTCCACACTTCCCAAATGTTCCCCCTCCGTTTATTTTTTCATCCCGTCTGTCCCCTGGCTCCCCCCGCCGCCCTTTCCAGCTGAAGTTTGTGTCATCTCTTCCCGGCGGGTTCCTTTTTTTAACTTGCGGGGCCTGGGCCAGCCCTGAGCGCTGCAGGTGAGGGGCTGTACCTGCCCGGGGCTGCGGGGATGGGACAGGGCTGCCAACCTGCCGGGGGTGGGGATGGGGATGGGACAGGGCTGCCAACCTGCCGGGGATGGGGATGGGGACACGGCTGCCAACCTGCCGGGGATGGGGATGGGGACAGGGCTGCCAACCTGCCGGGGATCGGGATGGGGATGGGGATGGGACAGGGCTGCCAACCTGCCGGGGATCGGGATGGGGATGGGGATGGGACAGGGCTGCCAACCTGCCGGGGGTGGGGACAGGGCTGCCAACCTGCCGGGGGTGGGGATGGGGACACGGCTGCCAACCTGCCGGGGGTGGGGATGGGGATGGGGACAGGGCTGCCAACCTGCCGGAGGTGGGGATGGGGACACGGCTGCCAACCTGCCGGGGGTGGGGATGGGGATGGGGATAGGGCTGCCAACCTGTCGGAGGTGGGGATGGGGACAGGGCTGCCAACCTGCCAGGGATGGGGATGGGGATGGGGATGGGGATGGGGATGGGAACAGGGCTGCCAACCTGCCGGAGGTGGGGATGGGGATGGGACAGGGCTGCCAACCTGCCTGGTGTGGGGATGGGGACACGGCTGCCAACCTGCCGGAGGTGGGGATGGTGATGGGGACACGGCTGCCAACCTGCCTGGCTCGGCCCTGCCCGCGGGTCCCATCCCCGTCCGGGAGCTGCGGAGCGGGGCCGAGACTGCCGGGGATGGGGATGGGGACACGGCTGCCAACCTGCCGGGGGTGGGGATGGGGATTGGAACACAGCTCCCAACCTGCCGGGCTCGGCCCTGCCCGCGGGCGGGGAGCGCAGCCGGGGATGCTCGCTGGTGATGCTCGCTGGTGATGCTGGTGGTGATGCTGGGTGGAGGAGAAGGAGGAGGAGGAGGAGGAAGAGAAGGAGGGGGGAGCTGGCGGGACAGCCTGAGGTGGGCGGAGGGGGGAGGCGGGTGTTAAACCATCGCTCCGGGGAGGGCTGAGCATTTGCAAATTCCGGCTCCAGAGCGCGGGGAGCATCCTACAACCCACGCCGGGCCGGCAGCAGCGGCAGGGCAGGACGAGGCTTCCCGGCTCCCGGGGATCCCGAACGCCTCCTCCCCGGCCGGCCGAGCCCTGCCCGCGCTGCCGGAGCCGCAGCATCGCCCGCAGGCAGCGCCGAGCACAGCCCGGCCCCGTCCCCGGCGCGCAGGCACGGGCAGAGCCCGGGTGAGTAAGGCAGAGCCCCGGGTGAGTAAGGCAGAGCCCGGGTGAGTAAGGCAGAGCCCCGGGTGAGTAAGGCAGAGCCCGGGTGAGTAGGGCAGAGCCCCGGGTGAGTAAGGCAAGGCCGAGCCCCGCTCCTGCAGCAGCCCACAGCCGCCCCAGCCCCTCCGCACAGCCCGGCCCAGCTGCGAGCCCGGCAGCTGCGGCACATCCCCGGCCTCTGGTACGCCAGGCAGGCTGGCATCCTTGCCTGGGGAGGGATTTTTGAAAGGCTTCCTTCTCTGCTAGCAAGTTACCTGTCACCACTTGGAATGACTCCTTCCCTTGCACAGAACCTTCTCTCTTCCCCCCACCCCTTTTTTATCCTTTCCCCCACCTTACAACTTTTCCAGCCTTGTGGAGTTGCCTCCCTCATCTTCACCCGCAGATTTCCGTAGGTAACAAGAAGCCAGTGCCACCCTGGGAGATTTCAGTCCCTGAAGATCAGTGCCAGCAAGTGTCTTAACACACCTGTGTGTTTTTTCTTTTGTTCTCCACTAGGCTGAAAAGTCATGACAGCTGAAAAGACTATTCCTATAATTAATGGCAAGCCAGAAGATGCTTTGGACCCAGAAGCGTCAAGTACCAACCTCGTCCACAGCAATGATAAGAAAGTTCATGAAAGAGGTCACTGGAACAATAAGGTTGAATTTGTGCTTTCTGTGGCAGGGGAGATTATTGGGTTGGGAAACGTCTGGAGATTCCCATATCTTTGCTACAAGAATGGAGGAGGTAAGATGGCATCACGTGCGGATTTACATGGGAATTAAACACGGGAATGAAACAGTTAAGAGTGCTTTGCAGTGATTTATTGCACTAGTGAGAGAGATGTGTTCAGGATTTCAGTGCATGTGCAGACAGGGAAGCATTAAACATCTGACAACTAAGAAAAATCATTGTGTTTCTCTTTCCTTCTCTCCAAACACTGTGTGGTTTATTTTTACAAGTTGCTGCTGCGTTAGTAAATTGACACGTTTTTTTCAGGAGCATTTTCCATGCAGGAGAAGCCAGCGTTCAGTTATAGTAGTACACGCTGCCTTCTGCATGTGAATACACACCCAGGCAGACTTAACTAATTTTGTCTGATGCAGAAAAGAAGGCAGCACTTCATTTGTCACAACAGTGTACTTTGGGAAGGATGAATATTTCTTTTTCTAATAATGCCACAAAGACTAAATTTATTTTCTTTGTCACATGAAATTTTTTTTATACCTCAATGTTCTTTTTTTTCCCCCCTCAGCACTTCCCCAATTCCTACAGCAAGACAGGGGAAGATGTAAAACTGCAGGTTACTCGAAGAGAGCAATCCCTAATAAATATAAAATATGAATGTTATTTGAGAGAGAAAAGAGCAGACTCAACTTCTACAGAGTGTAACATGTGGCATGGATTGGTTATAGCTAACTGTAAACTGTATAAGATAAATGACAGTTGAGAATAAGCACATCAGCTGTGACTTGGGCAGCAATGAAGAAAGGAAAGTAAATTACAAACTCAGTTTAGAATTCTGTGGAGTGGGTTCAACATTCTTCACACTTAAAGCCTGAGTCAGTGGCAGTGTAAACACAGAGGCTGGAAGAAAAATAGGAAGTTCGGGGCTGATAAGAACTGATCTGCCCCTGATGGGTTTGTTTGCTGTGCCAAATTTCTATTCCTTGTCCCTCCTTATCTGAACTTGGGGATGGTTTTTAGCCTGTTTTGTGTGCTGTTTCTACAAGACAAATCCTGCTGTGCAAATTTTGTTTATTGTTGGAAGTTCCTTTCTTTATGTCTCTGTATTTTGGCCAAACTTAGGTAACAAGAGTTCAGCTCTTTAGAGAATGCTGCCACCAGATCCTGAAAATTAACATGCTGCACATCATATGCACAACCTTTTCTTGGTGATGGTCGAAGTGTTCCCAGAGAACTTTTGGCAGAGGAAATGACAGGAATATATTTTTGGTGTGTAATTTTTTGGCTCCTGCAGCCATCTTTACGTGCACATTTGTAGGTGTGTGCCAGCTTGTCAAAAGGTGATGCTATCATTTTAAAGGCTGTAAATGAGGTATAAAGAATTTTCATCATTGTTTTGTGTGATTTGATGAAAAATAAATTACTTGAATATCATATTTAATCACCACTGTACTCTTTAAGAATAGAATAAGTGGGTGTGAAGTAATTGGTTGTGTCCTGGCACCATGGGACATTTGCCATTGACCAGTTTTAGTCAATGAAGGCTCAGTCTGTGAGCTTGTGTAACCCCCTGCTGGAATTAGACCAGAGTTTGTTTTTAGGGCTTAAATCTGATGCATCCAACTCCTTGGTGTGTGCTAGGGGAAGACAGTGGTAAATATCTGAGCTAGTTGTGAAATAAATTGCTTTTAACAGAACAAATCTAGAAGCTGTAGTTTGGAACTTGTGAGGTGTGACCTCTCTGGCACTTACTCCAAGTCATAACAGGAAGTGTAGAAATAATCATCTGTAATTTTAGGCTGTGGATGTTCAGGTTTTGAGGAAAATTAACTTCTTTGTGTGTTTAGAATGAGGTATTTCTTGAACTATGATCTTTTTGCAAGCTGGGCATCCTGATGTTTTCAGATGTTCCTGATGTATGTTCCTGTATGGAAAAGCAGTCCAAGTTGGTACTTTGAATTTCCACAAGTTGCATTGTTAAACTGACTATGATAGTGTGTATGATGATCCTGGCCAGTGAATTATCCAGAGAAGTCATGCCAGTATTCCATTCTTTGTGGAATCCCTATGGATTGCTTGAGAGGCACCCGGGATTCACCTCTAGGGAAATTTCCCGGCTGAGGGAAGAGACTCCCGGTGAGGAGCTGAAGGAAACTCAGTCAAAGCAGGTGGATTTAGTTGTCTCAGCTGTCTAATCAGGGTGACTGAAGCAGGGTGTGGGTGTGCTGTGTTTGGGTTTTGCTGTGGTTCACTACCTGTGCTGGAGTTTGCTGTCAGCATCCAACCAAAACATTGATGCTTTGTTATTTTCCTAGAATTTCACATCAGTATTTCTGCCTGATAAGGCCAGGCCCGGCTTTTCTGTCCTTGTAATTAGTTCTGAAGTTTGTTTCCTCATTCCCTTTTTTATAAATTCCCTTATTTTATAAATAACAGGAAAAGGATTTCTCAGATTTAATGTCTGTAATGCTTCCTTACCCCTGAAAAAAGCAAGGATGGGTGTGCAGACCAATCTGGTGCTGGGCAGAGCAGAACTTTGAGCTGAGCATAGCTGGGATCTTTTCTGTGTTTAGAGACTCCTGAACTGACTTTAGGCTGGGGAACTTTGGTCTGCTCTGTTTTAGTCCATGGCCCTGGCTTAGAGGTTAACTTTGGATATTTGGGACAGGGCTAAACCTTCCTGCACTGCACTGACGGCTCACAGCTGATCCTTCCTGTAATGGAAAAATCCTCTCTGTGCTACTGAGGAGCCCTGTTCATTCTAACCAACACCCCCTCAATGTTCACTGGCAGGTGCTTTCCTCATCCCCTACGTGGTCTTTTTTATTTGCTGTGGAATACCAGTATTTTTCCTCGAGACGGCCTTGGGACAGTTTACAAGTGAAGGAGGCATCACATGTTGGAGGAAAGTTTGCCCTCTCTTTGAAGGTAACAGTTCTGTGTTCTACTGCAAAAGAAAGCATTCCATTTGCATTAAATGAAATAAATACTATCAAAATTGAAGTTCAGATATACCTAAGACTAAGCTTTTGTTTTTAAATTAAATATAGCCTGAAAAGCAAAAGTTTTCTTTCATATCTCACTTTTTGTTTTGCTCCTCCAGGCATTGGCTATGCTACCCAAGTTATAGAGGCACACCTAAATGTATATTACATCATCATTTTAGCATGGGCTATCTTCTACTTGTTCAACTGCTTTACTACAGAGCTTCCCTGGGCTTCCTGTGGCCACGAATGGAATACAGGTATGACCTCAGCAGAGATTACCACTACAAAAATCCTCCCAGGTGATTGATTATTATATTGAATTGTCCTGAACAAAGCTGTAGCAAAATCTGTACAAATGGGCCAATCTCATCCCGCTGCAGCAAGAGAAAGGAAACCTGGAGTGAAACTGCCTTGGACCTTTTTGGGTTAGGTAATTGTAAAGCATTTACTCCTCAAGAATATAATGTCAGCAGAAAAAGACACTATGGATTTGTTAATTCTGTAAGATCTGGCTAAATCTCAAGACTCTCATTTGCAATCATATCTATTCTCCCTGAGCACAGTGAGTGAATTCTGCAGCAGAGAATGACCTGATGACAGGTTGCAATCTTGCTCTTTCACTCTAATGAAGTCAGGAGGAGCTTGAATGGAGAGGGAAAAATATTAAATGTGGATCTTTGGAGTTGCTCTTTTAAATGCCAGATGTTGAGGGATAATGTTCATCAAGCTACTTCTGGAAATGTAGTCTCATAAATAATCCTTGCTGCATGTAAAGTAGCCTCCTGCACGAAGGATGAGGTATGTATTCAGGAGGGTTTGCAGGGTAGGGCTCTGCATCTGTCCTCTCATTGATATTTATGTCTGTAATTCTTTGCTTATTGAGTCTCTAGATCCCAAACATCCATGGGGAGGATCTCATCCCACTGTCCTTGTTCCCATGATCCCGAAATTTTGCACATGTA